AAGGCTTTTGACACAGTGTCACACTCAATTCTTACAAGTAAGCTAGTAGCTGTGATGTGGATTTTTTCACAGTCAGGTGGGTGGAAAACTGGCTCATGGGACGCAGCCAGAGAGTGGTGGTGGATGGATCGGTTTTACTTGGAGAGATGTGGGCAGTGGTGTCCCCCAAGGCTCAGTCCTTGGACCAGTACTGTTCAATATCTTCATCAGCAATCTGGATGAGGATGTAGAAAGCACTCTGCCCAAATTTGCAGACGACACCAAACTATGGGGTATAGTAAACACACTAGAGGGTGATAGGATGCAATTTAACAAAGATAAGTGCAAAGTGCTGCACCTGAGGAGCAAAATTCACCAATACACCTATAGACTGGGAAGTATCATTCTATGTAGCACAACTGTGGAAAGGGATCTCGGAGTCATAGTCAATGCAAAAATGAACATGAGTCACCAGTGTGATGAGGTTATAAGTAAGGCTAACCCTGATATACCTGCTAATAAGCCTTACTTATTAGCAGGTGTATCACAAGCAGGTCTAGGGAGGTGATTCTTCCCCTCTACGCAGCATTGATGAGGCCACAAATGGAGTACTGCATCCAGTTCCGGGGGGGGCGGTCAGCAGGGAATAGGGGATGCTCTGTTTACCAGGGCGCCCCCTGGGATTACTGAAGACAATGGTCATAAACTGAAGGAGAGTAGATTTAGATTGGAAATCAGGAAGAAATTTTTTACGGTGAGGGTTGCCAAAATACGGAATGGACTTCCAAGGGAGGTGGTGCTTTCCCCTACCTTGGAGGTGTTCAAGCGGAGGTTAGACAAACACCCGGCTGGGGTTGCTTGACCCTAGCACTTTTTCCTGCCCAGAGCAGGGGGTTGGACTTGATGATCTAATAGCTCCCTTCCAACCCTAGAAATCTATGAAGGCAATTTTTGGGCCAGATGCACTGAAGCCTGTCTGACACACTTAAATTATTTTGGCTTGCATTTGTAAGTGCAGATAAACCAGTTTCAGTGAGGATTAAATTGGATTAAGTACATCTAGTTTATGGAATTGTACAAGTAACTTTTCCCATTAAGACAAGGCCTTGGTGAGTAGCATGAATTAGGGCTGTGTGAAATTTTGCCAGCAGTTTTGTTTCAACACTGTTTCAACTCGTTTTGAGCTCAAATCGGCAAAATTGAAACAAAACAGAGCTTTGAAAGAGCCTCAAAACAAAACGAGGCAAGTCGAAACATTTTAATTTTTTTTTAACGTTTCGAGTTTCGAAGCTCAAGCTGGGCTTGCCTGCAGGGAAACAGGAACTAAAGTAAGGAGAGGGAGGGGGAAAAGGGGGTGAGGGAAGGACTGCTCTCATTATTGACTGTGTAGATGGCCTGTGATTGTGGTCCTTCCCTGAGGTCTCTTCCAATCCCAGTGCTTTGGGGGTGGGATGGAAAAACTGCATAAAAGGTAGCATTGTTTGAACTGCCCTGCTTTGTGCCTTGGTGTAAGTTGAGTGAGGGTGCACCTTAACACACACACACACACACTGTCACCCACCCATGTCATGAGTTTTGCCTGTCAGCAGCTAAAGGTGCAGGGCCCCAGAACCCAGACTCCCCCTGCACCTATCGCCTTGACAGCTGGCAGGCTATTAGCAGGCCTGCAGTTTTCACCCCCTGTGCCTCAAGACAGAGACAGTCCCAGCACCCATGTTACGAGTTTTGCTTGTCAGCAGCCAGAGGAGCAGGGCTCCAAAACCCAGAAGCCCCTATACCCATCTCCTTGAAAGCTGGCAGGCTGTGGCCTCAGCAGGAGCTAGCATGCCTGCAGTTTTCACCCTGCTGCACCTTAACACACACAGTGTCACCCATGTCATGAATTTTGCTTGTCTGTAGCTTGAGGTGCAGTTTCCCCCAAACCCCTGCACCTATCTCCTTGAAACTTGGCAGGCTTTGTTGCCTCAGCAGGAGCTAGCATGCCTGCAGTTTTCACCCTGCTGCACCTTAACACACACAGTGTCACCCATGTCATGAATTTTGCTTGTCTGTAGCTTGAGGTGCAGTTTCCCCCAAACCCCTGCACCTATCTCCTTGACACTTGGCAGGCTTCATGCCCTCAGAAGGGGCTATCATTCCTGCAAGTTTTATCTAAATCAGGCCAGAAATGAGAGTTAAAGGCTGTTTTGAGCTTCCCCATTATAGCCTATGGGCGAAATGTTGAAACAGTGTCGAAACATTGTTTCAATGAAATTAAATGGAACAGCAGTTTCAAATGGAAAGGAAATTAGAAATGAAACGCTGTTCCATCACAACGTCGAAACGGAACGGTGCCGTTTCGCACAGCCCCAGTAGGAATATTTACAGCGTAATGTACTGTGTACTATGCAACGCAAGTCAGAATGAAAGAATTAAACTATTTACTATCTATGTTACTTTATAAAATCTTCAACCCACACATCTTTTCTGTCATGCACATCTGTAATGGGATGTATAGTAGTCTATGTATAATAATACAGAAAATAATGGGCCCAGTTTGTCTTATGTACAAAAATGTAAAGTCAAAGTAACTACTGGGTTTTTTTTTTACAGAATTACTACAGATTTACATATAGAAATTAACAGAATTTGACCCATTAGAAACAAATACAAATAATAGCAAGGGACCATCTTGCATCAACTAAATTTAATGAGAAAGATATATTTTTTACTCACAGACAGACTCTTCCCCTGAGAGAGAAGGATACATATAGTAAGGATAGAACCTAGACTGTTTGTTTTCACTTATAGTTGTTACAATAGTAGTTCTTCTTGACATGTTATCTGCTGACTTTGTAGCATCCTATTAATAAATTAAAGCACTGTTTGCTTTAAGTCTGAACTAACAGATCTTGATGGAGAACTTTTCATGTAGCGCAGGGGTTCACACCTTTCACCTGGTTACTCAATTTCTAGCTTCAAGCCTTGTTTGCTCCTGAATGTCATAGATTCATAGATGTTAGGGTCGGAAGGGACCTCAGTAGATCAAGTCTGAACCCGTGCATAGGCAGGAAAGACCCCAGCTAGATGCCTATCTAACCTCCTCTTGAAGACCCCCAGGGTAGGGTAGAGCACCCCCCACCTTGGGAGCCCATTCCAGTCCTTGGCCACTCTAACTGTGAAGAAGTTCTTCCTAATGCCCAGTCTAAATCTGCTCTCTGCTAGCTTGTGGCCATTATTTCTTATAACCCCCAGGGGCACCTTGGTGAGTAAAGCCTCACCAATTCCCTTCTGTGCCCCCATGATGAACTTATAGGCAGCCACAAGGTTGCCTCTCAACCTTCTCTTGAGGAGGCTGAAGAGGTCCAGGTTCCCTAGTCTCTCCTCGTAGGGCTTGGCCTGCAAGCCCTTAACCATACGAGTGGCCCTTCTCTGGACCCTCTCCAGGTTATCCACATCCCTCTTGAAGTGTGGCGCCCAAAATTGCACGCAGTACTCCAACTGCAGTCTGACCAGCACCCGATAGAGGGAAATTATCACCTCCTTGGTTCTGTTCGTCATGCATCTGCTGATGCATGATAAAGTGCCATTAGCTTTCCTGAGGACATCGTCACACTGACGACTCATGTTCATCTTGGAGTCCACTAGGACTTCAAGATCCCTTTCCGCTTCTGTGCCACCAAGCAGGTCATTTCCTAGGCAGTAGGTATGCTGGACATTTTTCCCCCCTAGGTGCAGCACTTTGCATTCTGCTGTTTTCTGCCCATGTGTCCAACCTGTCCAGGTCTGCTTGTAGTTGTTCCCTGCCCTCCGGTGAGTCCACTTCTCCCCACAGTTTTGTGTCATCCGCAAACTTGGACAGCGTACACTTCGCTCCCTCATCCAAGTCACTGATGAAGACATTAAAGAGTATCGGTCCAAGGACTGAGCCCTGCGGGACCCCACTGCCCACACCCTTCCAAGTTGATACCGACCCATCCACTACGACTCTCTGGGTACGATCCTCTAGCCAATTCGCCACCCACCAGACCGTGCAGTCATCCAAGTCACATGGGTTTACCTTTCCACTTGTAAACGTCACAACGCCTAGCTTGGGAACCACTTATTTAGTAGAAGGAGCTAAATGTAGAAATGCTTGTTTACAGCCTTGAATATCCTGATTCTGCCCTGTCTTGAATCTTAGTTAACCAATTACCTCTTTGCGGAAGGATGGTGCTATTATTTCATATTAATAGGATGCCTCAAAGTCAGCAAACATACCAGCTTGGCAAAACACCTGAAAGAAAAATGTATGGTCACCTGCTTAGGTGGCTGGTTAAGCGTTAGTTTGGTCCCCTGGTACTAATGAGAGAAGCCTAAAGACTGCTCTAAACTGAGAGTAGCAGGAAAGCCCCAAAAGGTGGCTCTGGCCTGGAATGTCAGCAGAGTGCCAGGCAGTTCTAGTCGGGCTCCCTCAGCCAGGACATGCAACAGATGCTAGGTGGTGGGGGAGGATGGCACTGCCTTTCCCTCAGCCTGGCATTTCACTGCTTGAAACGCATCAGCTCTGATTTTCCTGGGAAAGTTGTGGAGCCCTTTGAAAAATGGCTTCCTGGGCCTCCCTTGGCACCGCAGAGGTCGTTCAGCTGTGGTCTCTGGTGACATGCTAAAGCCTCCAGCAAGCTTCTCTGAGACACGTCCCTGCGCACCCTAGTCGGCAGAACCATCGGGGGCAGTTGCTGCAGGGCACGGCCTCCACCCGAGGGATGATGTTTCAGCACTTATCCAGCAACGCCAGATTCACACTCAAAATAGTGTAAACTCTCCGCCCTGAGCGTGGACAGCCTCACCCGCCCTCGTCACCCCACTCCCTGGGGGCAGCGGGGGCTTCTCCAGCGGTGGCGGATGTCGAGGCGGAGAAGAGCAGGTCCTCTCCGGGGCAGCGCCCGGCCCCGGCCCCGGCCCCGGCCCCAAGCGCAGCACCGCGGG